TCGGAGCCCGATGCCACGAGCGCTGAATCGGGCGAGAAGGCCACCGAGCGGACCCAGCGGTCATGGCCCTTGAGCGTCTGCACGCACTCGCCTGTGGCGACGCGCCAGAGTCGGATCGTCCCATCGTAGGAGCCCGATGCCACGAGCGCTGAATCGGGCGAGAAGGCCACCGAGCTGACCCAGCTGTCATGACCCTTGAGCGTCCGCACACACTCGCCTGTTGCGACGCGCCAGAGTCGGATCGTCTGGTCGTTGGAGCCCGATGCCACGAGCGCTGAATCGGGCGAGAAGGCCACCGAGGTGACCCCGTGGTCATGGCCCTCGAGCGTCTGCATGCATAGCCCCCAATAGTCGTTTACCTTTGGCAGTAGAGATATCCATCGCGGTATCTCGCTTCTGAAAGTAGCGCGTACTGTGCTCCTGTTTGGCGAAAAGATAAGGAGAGAGGAATATATCTGGAGTGGCGTATTGTCTATAGCGTAAGTGTTGGCAAGGATGAATCGCATGGCGTCATCTAGGAATTCGGACAGTTGCTTGTCACCTCGACACTAGTTCGGAGTCAGTAGACTGCGCCCCTGGGATGCCCTATGGTGATTCACGGACCTTATATTGCGACTGCAACGCCTCGATTAGATGCACACTTTCCCGAGCTCTCCCTAGAAGGCTCAATGACTCTAGCCAGTGGAGGAAGTGGCACTGTAAAAAGCCGTACACTCGTCCACAGTCACCATCATGGACTCCCGCGCCTTGAAGGTGATAGACCCAGTACAGGCAGGCGTACTGTACCTCTGATGGAAGACAGGCATCCACTTTGCTTCGGTCGATATCCGATCGAGTCGTGCCAGGGGCTTGGATATCGCAGATATTCTGTCGGAGGCACTCCATTACACGCAGACAGTTCACTGCCATCGCCAGGTGGGTGGCGGTCTCGTCTATCCAGAATGGGTGTCTTTCATGCTGCTTTGGGTCGAGCAAGAAGTCGCGGAAAGACAGATGCAGCAGCCTGACAGGGGACTGTGCCGACGATGGGATGTCCAGAACTGAATGCAAAAGGTCCAACCGGGAGTCAATGACTTCTCTGTCGATGTTGAGGATTTGCGCAAGGGCAGTAGTTGACAATGGCTTTGCAAGGATAATAATCGAGCCGATGACACCCCTGAATTGGCAAAGAACCTCGTCCCGATTGTGCTTGGACAAGCCGTCGACCAGCCTGTTCAGGACAGGAAGATATGTCGCACCCATTTGCGATCCCTCGCGAATGTGTTGAGAGCGAAGAACTTCCTTCAGCTGTCGATCAGGATCTCCACATTTGCGGTCGGCAACGAAGCGACAAAGGGTAGCGGCGAAAATAAAGAGCGGAATTGCCATCTTCACGAGAGACTGAATATTGGATTCCCTGGGCCAGGTGCTGGCCAATCGCCGATACTCGGATACCGAAGCATTATATTCGCATCGAATGATTGCAAGTTCGTATTCCAGGAAGGCACGTATATCGCGTTCCACAACGGGTTCGGGTATCTCATGGAGGATCAAATTCCGGTACTCGCCCTGCAACTGTGCAAATCCAAGACGAATTGGCAGCTCTGGCCGGCTCGTTAAAAATACTCTGAGCCGTGCAGACCGCAAGTTCTTGGCACGACAAAAGAGGTGGATCAGGCGTTTAATATCGTCCTCCTGATCGCTCTCATCGAGTGCATCGATAATGAGTAAGATTGGATCTTTCTCTTGTGTATGTGACTGGACAGTCGACAGCGGCTGCAAAATGAGCTTGTCGAACTGCTCTTCCATTGCCTTTCTCAGTATGGCATGGTCGCTATCAATGGCGTCCTTGATGTGGCGAGCGACGGCAGGTACTCTTCTTGTCAGATCGGCCGCAATTGTACAGAAGAACCTGGACACGCTCCCTCTATCGCCTTCGCCCCTCTTAAAGAAGAAGCTGGCACCGAGGCGGTTTTCCGCGTGGAAGGAGTGGGCGATCGTCCGAGAAATGGTAGACTTGCCCGTCCCTGCCATACCGTTGAGCCAGAAGACCTCCTCATCAGGTCTGACAGCCCAAGCCGATATTTGTCGAAGAAGCTCTACTCGGGTATTTGGAAGACATCTGGGGTTGTATACTTCGGTGAGGGAGTCAAACGAGGCTCCCGCGGCGACTTCGTCCTCGAGTCGCGAAAGGACGGCCTTCTGGTCGATATCGAGAGCAACTGTGCTAATCCGAGCGAGTTAGCTTATACCTGCCATCTGAGGCATTCGGAGATCCAGCGTAAGCATCGTCACGCAATGCACTCACTGCACGTCTTGCACTCCTTCCTTCACCCTGGCTGTGACGGAATGAATCTCCGATACAGAAGCAAGAACTGATGGAATATTAGAAACTCTCTAGGCCTCGATATAAACGTTCGAAGATGGCTGACCACTCTCGACAAGCTTGCTGATCCTCTCCTGCGCCTCGACCTTATTTGGAGGAATTTGACACAGGACGTCTTTCGCGTATGCGGCCGCCGTCATTGCTGCATATCCTTGCCACGCCTTGTTCTTGTGGGTGTCGGAGTAGTCGCAGATACCCCGAACAACTAGACAAGGGAAATGGTTCATCAATCCTGCGGCCTCCATTTCAAAACACAAAACACCCCTTGTTGCCGCAAGTGTATCCCGAGTCAACGCGTCCTTCATCAACGTGTTGGCCGAGGCGATCCGGCCGTAGTGAATAGCAGGGTTGTCGTGATCTTCTGTACGTTCAGATCGCCATATCATGTCCGACGGGTCGTCACCACAGACTGCCGCACAGATGGATTCGTCGTCGGGAGGGTGTGTGACAGCACTTTGATAGAGCTTGTCAGTGCCGGTGTCGGGCCGCTTGTATTTCTTCCGCAGTCTGGGCTTCTTTTCGAGAACATCATCGATTACGTCGCTTAGCCGATGTCCTTCGGTCTCATATTGAGCCCTTAGGCCGCTAACGGCCGTTCGAAGCACAATCGGTGGCTGGTTTAGGAGCGCTGTCTCTTGGAACTCCTGCCCTTGTATTGCCTTGCCGAAATCGTATTGGAAGAGGGCACCTCGTCCATCGCGGGACGTACTGACAACAATGTCGCCCAAACGAATATCATGCTTTCGACTTGGCGCGCCGCCCCCGATGCCGACCATCAGGCCGATTCTGACGTTGGGAAAGCTGTGCAACATGTCCTTCGCGACGCCTGCAGCAGAGGATATGCCGTACTCTCCGTCTGGCAAGACCGCGATGACAACATTATGCTTCCCGACTTTACCTAGAGTGTAGTGATTGTTGTCGTGGGTGGAGACGTACTCCGGGCCATCGTGCCTTTCGTCGAGAAACGCTTGTGCGGCGACGTACTCTGTCGTTATGGCACAGATCCAGCCGACGGTGTAGTTCGCGGGATTAGACATGGTCGCTGAAGTCTGGAATACGGCCGAGCCCTGGAGCCCCAAGGAGGAACGGCCTATGCTGTCAGCGCAATACCGTTTTGCAGCCCGTAGAGTGGGTTCAATCAAGTTGATGGGGGTGACGAGGATTTGGGAGGGTCGACGTGGGTTGATGAGGGGTTGGTGAGGCTGCCTGCAGGTCGTCCAACCGGGTTGCCGCAAAGCCACGGGCGCCGAGACGCCTGCTAGGCAGTAGCCTTAACTAATACCGCAGGCGCCGCGCCGGAGCAGCAGCAACAGGGGCAGAGCAAGTTCGTCTGCGCTGATGGCTGGAGGTTGGGGTCGGGATGGCACGGTGGGACAGCGCCCTCAGCGGCCCATCGCACGCAAGACCTTGGCTGTTCAACTCTTCGTTTCGCCGAATAGAAGTTGACGGCGTCGCAATGAGACTGACAAAGTGGACTTGGGTTTCCCTCGCAGCTGTACAAGAAGGTGGACTCCATTGTAGACAGGAGGTGTTGCCGTCAGGAGAGGCCACCCCGCGATGCAATGCACACCACGGACAGGATTGACGAAATTCATAACCGCACTGTCTTCAGCCACAGAAACAGCCACACTTCAGCAAAAGTTGCAAAAGTCGACTGCTCTCGCGGTCCAATTCTGTGGCTCGGTACAGTGTAATTATCAATTCAAGGCCACCCCTTCACAGCTAGGCAGCAGTGGTAGGATGAGTCGTCGACATCCTCGACGATCCTTTGTTCGACGTTTCTTCGACGGCTTGACGCCTTCCAACTCGTTCAAGCAGAGTCGCTCGCTGCAGCCATGGCTCCGAGGCTGTCTCGGGCTCAGCATGAAATGCCGCAAACCGGGGGAAAGAGAGGGTCAACGATTGAGCAGCCGACACCATGTCATCTGTTGGCGAACGACAGTGTCCAGCTGAGGACGACGGCAGCCTCACAGCGGACGGCATGATTGGGTGCGTTGTGAACAGCTGTAGGCCTGGGACGCTGCGTACCGGCTCAACGGCGCCAGTTAAAGCGCGCTGATTGGGTGACTGAGTCGGAGGCAGCCATGGGGGCGGGGGCCCCTGCCTCATGCACCGACCGTTTCAACCTGGTGCCATACCCATGCCTTGCCCCTTGCCCTGCCCTGCTGTGCCGCCGTGGAGCAAGTGGGGACTCCTGCTGGAACTGCGACCCTGCCTAACAGAGTCGTAACCTCCAGTAGTATTTACTATCGATATACGGCGTCATTAAGGGCATGACGTGTTATCCACAACTTGACAGGGGCTAGAGCATGTTTGCTAATGTCACCGTAAGGGTGCTTCCAATGGCACATCATCCAATGTTTGGAAAGTCGGCTCGCTCGCGGGCTTCCCTCTTCCATCAAGAAAGACATGCATGCAGTGAATGAGAACTCATGTGATGCAGAGCCCGACAGTCAATTCTCTGATGCTTCCAGTACCCAGCAGCTCCCTCGCAATGCACAGCCCCGGCCGCGAAGCCAGCTCCGGCCCCAGCGGCCATCCTTGCCCTTCGTCGCATATGCCGACTTGGCCACAAGCCAGTCGTACGATTGCACCCCGCCTGTCTGCATCAGCTATGTCATGGAATGGAAGGTGGCCTTCAATAACAGGAAGGTTCGCGTGCATACCGAAGAGGACCTCGTGGTGGCGCCGGGCGAGTTCTGGAAGGAGGAACTGTCCGCAAAGATCCACGAGATCGCGAAAACGGCGACCAAGCCCAGTAGACCTGATTCAACAACAATCGTCGTGTCCGTGAACGAGCGATCCGAGTCAGACATAACGAAGAGTTTCCCAGAGCTTGACATCGATTGGTCCGCTGTGGAACGACAGCTACAAGCGTGGAGCCACCTGCTTCGCATCGGGAAGAAGCTGAAGGTTGACGCCTCGTTCAAGTTCGTGGAGAGCGGCAAGACGGCCCGTACCGCAGGACGTGGCGCCACTGCCGCGCAGCTTGCGGAGGCTGACGTTAGGCTCGATGCGGAACAAGCGTCGCTGGGTGAGCCATCGCCGTTTAGGCTTGTCTACCAAGTCTTCCGTTGCCCAGGACCGCCGTGTGACCGTGGACCGAACTGCTGGTTAGATCCCAATGGCCGCAAACACTACAAACTTATGACGCATCACCTGAAGAGCCTCGTGAAGTTTGTGCAGGAAGGTAACACATTGCAGGGACATGGCGACATCCCGGACAATATTCGCGAACAGCTGTATGCCGGAGAGCACCAGGCAGCCGATCGTAAGAGGAAACGGAGAGGGTCTCCGTCTCCTGAAGGGCGACATCCCATGGTGATCAACAACTACATCCCATCGCATCAAGATGCGAAGCAACATCCGGAGCAACCCGTCTCTCATGTGAAGAATTCGTCTGCTTCGCATTCTTTGTTGCTCAGTATTCCTGGCCTGCGGGATGAGGCAGTGGAGGAATACTGTAAATGGCATTGCTCCAAAGTAAGGAGCAACGACCAGAAGAAGGCTTACGAGCTGGCCCATGATTTGACCTTGGCGAGGAGCCTCGACCTGGAGCTTGTACATGAGGACAACGATGCACAGTTTTACATCGACAACGGTGTGTCGGAGGGCGTAGCACGTCGTTTCGTTCGAGATGTCCGGGTTTTTCTGGAGGAGTGTATGTAACTCTAGACGTTCGTAGTGTTTATCTTTCGGCTAGTACACGTGTTAGGGCCGAGAATTTATTCTGGCGGTTCTTCAACGGAGATTCCAGCACGGCGAAAGTGACCCTCTGCACTTGCTTTGCGGCGACCGACAACCTCGACACATTCCTCAAGGAAGGAGATGAAGTCGGCCCGCACAAAGTCAATTTGATCCTCCCAAACTTGCCTGATGTAGGTCTTCAGTTCCCCAAAGAACTCCTCGATCGGGTTGAGGTCGGGCGAGTAAGGCGGAAGGTATAGCAACACTACCCCAGCGCTGTCACACATCTGTTGCAGCCTCTCGGAGTGATGGAAAGATGCATTATCCATGATCAGCACCGACTTCGGACTGGGCCACTTTCCGCAGTAGGACAGGAGTTGCTCGATGAAATCCTCGAACATCTGGGTATCAGTTGACCCCCTATACGCTTGAAAATGGACCACGCCATCCTGAGCATACGCTGGAAGGATCTGCACCCGTCGGCCTCGATGGAACCGTTTCACTTGCCGTGGTCTGCGTCCTCGAGGAGCCCAGCCTTTGCTCCTGGTCCCGATACTCCTGTCCACCCCAGTTTCGTCAATAAACACCAGCTGATCAGACCTCATGTTGGAAATCTCGTGCATGTATTCATCTCGCAGTCTTGCATTGCGTTCGTTGGCGACGTTTTGTGTTGACTTTCTCGACCACCCAGCGCCTTTCAAGGCTCTGCTGACGCTGAAGCGTGTCACGTCTGCTTCGAACTCGTCGTTGAGGAACGAGGCCATGTCTTGCAGACGCATGCAGGGATCGGACCCAAGCTTGTCCAGCAAGGCAGTCAGCATGGGAGGAGATATGGATTTCGGTCGGCCACTGCCATTCGGCGGCGCTTTGGTCGATCCGAAGAGGAGCAGATTCGATCGAATATGGCGTACGGTCCGGGTGGAACAGTTGGCTGCGTGGGCTATCTCTCCGTCCTTGAGTGATTTGTCACCTTCCGACTTACTGAGGATCATGTCACTAATCAGCTGATGTTGAGAATCGGCAAGATTTGGCGCCATTATGGGAGCAGCGTGTGCTGATGGCGTCGAGGGTAATTCCCAAGGCAAGGTTGACAGAGTCAGAAGAGGGCTATTGTGACGGTGACGAGTGAGGCCCACTTAGCACCAACGACGGCTAAGCTACGGCTACCGCCTCTCATGTCCCTCATTACGCGTCCGCAAGGTAGCCCCACTTTTCTCCCATCATTAGTGATGGTCAATGCTCTGGAGAGATTACAAAAGAGAGTATGCAGGAGGAAGCCGGTTTCGCTCATAGCTGTATGGACTGAATGAGAACAAGTCTCGCGTGATCCAGTTGCGGCGGCAGGGTTGGAGGGGAAAGAGCCAAGTTCACTTGGGATGATTGAGGAATGGGCCTAGCCATTGAACGCTGCTGCCTGGATGGGGGGCACTGTGCCGGCAGCTTTCGCTGTTGTTAGGCGGGGCTCTTGCGGTACCTGCCCAGTACCAGCGGTCCAGTTAAAGCCACATTGGCCACAAGGCGCCCACTCCACTCTTAAGTTTCTTAGCTAAACTTATTGGGACACCCCATTCGCCTTGCAGTATACTCTACATGCTTAACACTACCTGTCCTGCATGCGTCACACCATACATTTGGGAATCGCGCATGCTTCACAGCACTCGTCGTGCGAGCTTCACACCACATATTTCTGGAAGCTTTCATGCTTCACACCACTCGTCCTGCAAGCCTTCATGCTTCACACCACTCGTGCTGGGAGCCTATTTTGCTTCACACCACACGCCCCTGCGAGTTTCACACCACACATTTGCGAGCCTGCATGCTTTACACCATCCGTCTAGCAAGCTTCACACCACACATCCTGGAAGCCGATTTGGCTTCACACCACTCGTACTGCAAGCTGTACACCACCCGTCCTGCAAGCCGAGTTGCTTCAACCACACTTCCTTCAAACCGACTTGCTTCATACCACACATCCTGCAAGCTTCACACCACGCATTCTGCAAGCCTGCATGCTGTACACCACAGGACCTGCGAGCAATACACCATTAATCCTGCAAGCCTGGCCAGTGGACGAGAAGACGGTGTCGTTCAGTTACTGATCGCCACGCCAATACACAAAAGAGTGATCCAGAAATGGCTTCAGTGCTCTGCAGCCGCTGCACAATTCCTCCTGGCTCTTTCTGTACGTTTCGTTGCTCCAGGTCCGGACCACAGGGCAACCCGGTAGCCCGGCGTCATGGCATCGACGACGTCTCAGCCCGGGCGGAGACTCCTCCCACTGCGACAAAGGTTTCCATCTACGTCAGCATCTGCAACTGTTAGTGCCCACTAATCAGACATCTTCAACTTCATTACATCCGCGACCACCGGCACCGATGCTGAAGCACTTTGCACAATGTAATGCGAGGGGAACTATCGTGCTATCTCGAGGTGCCGGAGCCGCGAGAGCTCGTCCGTGTGACGCAGTCACAATGTGAATACAGACTGTAGAGTGGTGGAATGGTCAAGATCATACTGTCCTACCGATCAATTTTTCCAAAGTGTTTCACTTCATTCTGTGGTTGCTCAATGATGACGCCAGAACTAGCCCGAACTGTGTCTGAGACCGACAATGAATATGCCGCTATTGCACTGGCTCATTGATTGCCGACCGACAAACATCTATTGTGGAGTCTATGATGAAGTCTTTCGTTGGCTCCTCAGTAGAAAGCGCGAAGCGTCCAGCTGCTCGGACATTGGCAGCATCGCCGACTCAGATATACTTGACCAGGTCAAGACGGCAGGCGAAACGGATTACACAAGGTTGCATGGTACTCCACAGGGAAACAACTACTGTGTACGGAACTATTGTTGCCAGTCTGGTTCGCGGCATGCAGTTCGTCAGAGATTACCGGATGTCCGCATTTGATGAGGACGACACGCCGTAAGTAGAGATTGAGTGTCTCATAATGGACGACCGCCGTACGTCGTCCCTGGCTTGTAATAATCCGCAGCACAGGGTGAAACGGCATTCAGGAAGCCTGCATTGTCGCAGATATTACCTTTGGAACTTGGCCCAGAAGATAGCATGGAATGTCCGCAGTGTGGTGACATAACAAGGCAGAACAAGGCACGAAGCAATTTGTCTAGTTGTAGAATCGCACGGACAAATGTGCATCTGTATCGTGCTGCAATGCCGCCTAATCGCGGCGTTGTACAGCTGCTCGTCCCCGGACTGCGCCTCTTGACTCCGCCAGCATGCAGGTCGAGTTCCCAACGAATACGCTTCAGTGGTCTAACATGAACCCGCTGGACGGCATCATGCTGTGGGGAGACACATTCTCGGGAGTCACGTGAAAGAGGCTGGAACTTTGAACTCTGATCTGAACTTTGACACCCGTGGTCGCTGCTCAGAGACGAGATGAGTGCCGCTATTAAATCGGTGCAGCGCGGCTAGGAAGTTCGGGCTCTTCGTCCTATTTCAAGGGACCAACGTACTCTTCTTTATAGGGGCAGCGGCCTGCCGCAGCATACGGCACGTCGGCGTGGTGGTGTAGTTGCCTCACGAGTCGAAGGCAAGGTTGCGGCAAGCTCTATCTGCCTTTGTAAGTCATCGTCGCTCAGTGGCTCAATCGTGACCGGCTGTCCACGATCTTGTAGCAAGTTCGTGAGGGTATCTGGAGACTGCGTATGGTGCTAATCCTAGCTAAGTATGAATTGTCAGTGAGGCCTCGAGTAAATGCCATACATTGAAAGTCATGGCGAACGGCAAACTTAACACTTCATCGGCAGCTTGGTCTGCATTCTGTGTGCAACACTGCGCCGCGGTTTCAAGAATCGATGAAGGGCACGATTCCGACGGGGCTTTGTTCAGAATGTGACGGTATCGGACAGGTCGCAGTGATTTGATGCAGGACGATGCGAACAGCGAATTTTGGTGGTAGATGCTCTCGTGACTGGCCAATTACTTGCTGTTCAACGTTGCTTCTTCGCAGGCTGAGAGTGAAGTACGGTGCAGGTGCGCAACGGGAGAAGTTGAGGGAACAGACTGGACATAGAGGGTTTGGGGTGTCGTTCCTAGACCCTTCCGCGGCCACATCTACTCCATTCTCATATGGGGTAGTTTTGGCTCCTCCGCGCTGCTGCGGGCTTCAACGATGGAAGGGGGACGGCCAAGCTGCGAATTGGCCCTCTCCCGCCGACTGCAGGACTGCACCCAGAATAAGCCCTTGTCGGCGCTCAGACGAGGCTGTCAGCGTTGCTGGCAAGCGTGAACAGGGGTGTCTAGTGCGATGGTGTGGAGAATCGCGGGGTGAAGGTTGATGGTGTGAAGCAAAGAAGCTGGTGGTGGGCTGAATGGCAGGGGACATAGACCCTTGTCTGCACCCCTGTACCACCCTGGTCTTACCCCTTGTCCTGGGCAATGTGCAACAAGTCACCGTTTGCGGCGATCCAGAAGCGGCTTCAATCCTTCTTTGCCTCCTGCCGCCTTCCTCTGCCCCCATTCGCGTCCCGTGCTTCACACCACACGTCCTGTGAGCTTCACACCACACGTCCTGGAAGCAGATTTTGCTTCACACCACGCTTCCTGCAAGCCGACTTTGCTTCACACCACTCATCCTGCAAGCTATACAGCTATGAGCGAAACCGGTTTCCTCCCCCGTACTCTCTCTTCTGTAGTATTTTAGGAGCTCGGCCATCACCGACACCGGCAAAAGTGGGCCGGGCGTTAAAAAGGAGTGTGTGCAGGGGGACGGCGGTTTCGCTCACAGCTGTACACCATCCGTCCTGCAATCCGACTTGCTTCACACCACACGTCCAGCGAGCTCGCACCACACGTCCTGGAAGCCGATTGTGCTTCACACCACGCGTCCTGCAAGCCAACATGCTTCACACCACTCGCCCTGCAAGCCTGCATGCTTCACACCACTCGCCCTGCAAGCTTCACACCACACGTTCTGGAGGCCGTTTTCGCTTCACACCACGCGTCCTGCAAGCTGCACACCGGACATCCTGCCCATGACAAAGGGCAAGACCGTGGCGTGGCGGTACAGGGGATCCGTGTCCTCTGCTCTTCAGCCCACCACCCATTTCTTCAATCTATGGAGCTTCACTCCATGGTTGAACTTGCTGCAGTGTGTGAAGGAGCCAAAACGTCCCCATATGGGATTGGGGGAGAAATGACCGCGGAAGGGTCTAGGACCGACACCCCAGACCCTCTGTGTCCGGTCTGTTCCGTCACCTGGTCTCATCGCAGGACCTACACCGCGCTCTACTCTACGCGTCCATGCCGATGCCTATGCTACGGCGCATCATTGGCCCCATGCAAAGAAGTGTGTTGATGCGTTGTATCGGACGAGGAGCGCGAATCGGAATCCGAAGATGACGGCGGCAAACCTCAAAGTCATTTTGACCGGCTGACCCGCAAGGCAATATCTTGGCTCAACAGATTCGGGGACATCCAATGGCAAGATTTCAGGTAGCTGTGCAATTGACCCCAACCCGATTTACGTTGTTCTGACAAATGGAGTGTAGTTGAAGCCTACGGCCATGTATCTCAGTCGCGATTCTCAGCGCCGCTGGGATGGTTCCGCTCGAACAGTCTCGAATGCGATCGTTGACTTTGACGACAGACTGCTGTATACATGCATTCCATGTCTCCACGGAAAGTGCAGCATAGACCTGTCATCCTTCCGGCAACTGCGGAGACTGACTTGGAAGGTCGCAAGCCCCCTGCATCTTGATACTCTGTTTGTCGTCAATCCAGACCAATTGAGCATGTTTACAGACACTGGAGTGGGACTTCGTGAACTGGCAGTCGCAGGCTTGCCCATTTCGGACGACCATAAGCATTGGCGGCCTCAGACGCAGAACCTCTTCCTCTTCATCACGATGGTCTCCACGGCTGCCTGGACGATAGATCGGCCATCGTCCTCACACACCGCCCAACCTCGTTCAGAGTGTCGCCGCCTTCTTCAACACCTCGTTCACAACAGGCCCCGCTAAGCACTGCATGGCATCTCTGACTGGTGACGGGCACAACGCGTTCCGCGGGCGGTGCACGTGGCGGAGATATCGCGGAACCTCATGTTGCAAGGCGAGCCCGATCGGAAGACTGATTGGTCTCGCAGCCTGGGCACAAGACGATTCCAGGCAACGTGGATCGAGCGGTTGGGGTCGCTCAGCGCGTCAAGCATGGTCAGCCAAGCCTCGAGTTTTGGGGCACGGCAGCAAGGTATGCATGGCACAACTGGGACGCGCTGGAAACGACGGCAACGCGCAACCTGAACCCTGGGGGACAAATTCAGAAGTGTTTCCAACCCCAGGGTTGAAAATGGCGCTAGCACTACCGGGCTGGGCTTGCGTCGAGGCCATGTCCGATCATGCCCTGGCAGTTGGCCCTCATTTGGCACGCTGCGGGTGGGTGTAGGGGCAAAGCAGTGGCCTCTGGCGTGCCTTTTGGCTGTGTGCAAGTGAATTTCACTAAAACGCATACAAAGTCAAACCCCCGCGCTATTGCAGCTCTTATTTCACGGATGGCCATCCATAACAAAGCCCCGATCTTTACACGACGAAAATCCCCATTCATGGCCCTTTTCTAACATGCACTTTGCTCTGTACCGTTCGTGTAGTCTTTCGCTATCCCTGCATTCATTTTTTAGATGCCTCCGTCTCGTCTCTACAAATGGCCCGGCCGTGCGAGCCCCCGACCGGCTGCTAGCGAGCCGCCCGCCATTTTCACCGAGTCCCCGCCGCGCCTGACCTTGACCCTCACCCGCATCCCACCTCCGATGCTAATGGTAATATTTAATCCTGGTCCAGATTCGCTTGATGTACTTCTGCCCCTTTCCCTCATTTTCTTTTTCTCGGCTCTGTCGCGCTTCGCGTTCTCAGGCGTCTGGCTACACTGTCCGCGTTATTCGTTGGGATTCTAAACTGACGTCATCGTCTCTGACGTCATCGTCTCTGACGTCATCGTCTCTGACGTCATCGAGCCCCATGAGATCGAGAGGTTGTGCTTGCCACTGACGGCGGGGGTGGTGGCGCTCCTGGCGGTAAATTTTAACGTCGTTGGTCGGGTCAACGAGCGCCACTGCCACCAATACCTGAAAACGAGCGTCAACCCAGCATAAAACCGCGAAGATTCCCTTGTTGCGCAGGAATTTCACCCCATTGGTTGCAGCGAATGCCAAGGTCCACACTGAGCGGTCCGCTTTTGACCAGATTCAGCCACAATCATGACGCACAAGCGGAAGAGGGACGCAGATGACTCTGAGGCCCACGCGATGATACGCTCCAGGAGGACAGCAGGATAGTCATAGGAAGCGAAATCTCTACGGACAGATTCCATACCACCGGCTTGGCCGAGTCACCCTGGGCCAAGAGTACAGCCGATCGAACAAGTTTCCTACTCAATCGGATGGAGCAGAAGCTGCAGGATGACACCAGGCGACAACTTCTCGCAGTCCGAAACTCAAACATAGCCATTGCGCTAAACGTGGGACTGACCTCGGTCGTCCAACGTCAACCAGAAAGGTGAACTTCTGGTGAATAGCATTTCAGTGCGCAACACCTAATAACGGCTAACTGCAGGATCACGAAGACTGCAACCTAGAGATTTATGACGAGAATACCTGCGGCCGCGGTCGTACTTTGTACTTGGGTGCGGCTGATCAAGCCTCTTGCTATTGTGGTAGAGGTGCGGCGTCGTCTCTCGAAAATTAAGTGGAAGTCTTGCACCACGTAACACATTGCGGATACGGCTCGCCATGTGCACCGTCCGGGACGGTTTATCACATGTAGTATGACTGTCAATGCGAGGCCGCGATCACAACTCGATGTGTAAGCAAGGAGTGCTTCCTTCGGTATTTGCTTACCGCGTCCGCCATGAAACAATAACAGTGACTGAAGCCCAAATGGGGCCAAGCTTACCTTATTGTCGCGGTAAAACCATAATATGGGTTTGAATCTCTGATTCTTGATCGCCTGCGGGATCACTGTGGAGATTGGACAGTCGGTGTCAGACTGCCTTTCACGAACCTGGCATGGTCGTCAGGAACTGGAGAACGCGCAGCAAGGCCTCTGCGTACCGACATCTAAGACTTTGGGAGCCGGAAAGGCCAGCGGTATCTCTGATCGGCTCAGAACAAATTGCATCGATAACTTGGGAAACAATACAAATTTAGCATGCGCCACAGAGGAACTGGGTGGGCTTCACCATCGCTGACCATCTGATCTTGGCATGAACACATGGGGCATGACTGAGGACGACTTGCTGGGCGGACACGCGCAGGCAAGTATCTGAACCATTCGACCCCAGTAGTAGCGCCGTTGGCGCGTGGCACAAGCTTTGGTTCAATCCTGCGGAAACTGAGTGGCCCCTTCCAGAGGTCCTCAGCCGCTGCCTGCCGGCCTCCTGCCCGATTCCACAAACAGGCAAGCCAGCTAGGTTCATCTTCGCAGATACCATTGCAACAATTCCCATTTCCGGTCGAGGTCACATGTAGCGAGTATGAGCCCCCGCTTGATTCTTGATTAATGCAACATTCTCGTCATCATTTAATCTGTAGCCCACGCCGGTCTGTAACTTCTGTCATCCTCACTGGTGTCGCGACACATATTCGCAGCGTCCATTCCTCCACCGCCTGCGTTCGCATCCTTTTCCGCCGCGAATTATTGCTTCAACGTTTACGTGAAGGTGCAACCCAAGAACAACGGGCCGACGTGATACGTACTACCGCCCGCAGTTTGGCCATTCTCAACAGACTCCCTTGGCAATATGGTACTTCGAATCAATTGTAAAGCTGCCTCGGAAAATGATCTGGGCGTGAGCAATTCGCCGAGTCCTAACATCCGCCTACTTGCGAGAATCTCGGAGAGTATTGCATCTCGCGGTAGGTTCTTTTTACTTACTTATATATCCCCTCGCATCTCACCCGCTAAGCAGACCGCGTAATGTCCGAGCAGCGCGGCCGGAGGCGAGAGGAGAAGCCTGCTCTTTCAAAACGCCAACAACAGAACCGAGAAGCTCAAAGGTCTGTGAGCTCGTCTAATTACGGAATATTGGAGTATTGATAATGACGAGCTTGGCAAATAGAACCCATCGTGAAAAGAAGGAGCGTTATATCAAGGCGATCGAGGACGAGGTCATCCGACTCGCCGATTTATACAGTGTCGTCCGCCGCGAAAACGAAGAATTGCACATCAAAACGCGGCAGCTAGGAGAGCTGTTACTTTGCGGTAGTGTTAATGACAGTGATGACGGAAGTCCCTCCACAAACACGAATTACAACCCGTGGACAAACATATTCTACGACGACAAGTATTCGGGTCTTCTTGCTGGTCCAATGCGCGGCTAGTTAACTACTTGAAGTGTATTTCAGGTACAAAAATCGTGGCAGAATGAGCACTGGGGTTGTCCCAGTATCGGAGTGCCGAAGTTGGTGGGTGATGGCGTCCAAGGTTGGGTGGCGACCGAAAATGGGCGGCGCGTCAGGGCGCCCAGGATTTTGTGCAGAGACAATGTGTTGAGAGAACATTGACGACTATTATTTAAGACGGGTACATTCTCGAGTGTCCGAGTGAGCCAGCCACCCATCTCCCGTTGGACATTCCCGAATGCATTGCGTCTTGCAAGCACGATGTAGTCTGGCAGCCAGAGGTGGGCAAATGGCCACCTGGATGGCATCAGGGATGTGTGACTTCACCTTACACTGCGGCGGAAGACAGGTCAGCTTTGCGGCACTCTTGTGAATCACTCAATCCTTCGTCACAGACTTCCGTCTGCTAGAGCAGTAAGCCATGATCGCAGCTCCGCGTTCACCTTTCGAGGCTCTTCTCGCCACAGCCAATGCCCAGCGTTAGGTAGTGTAACTACCCGGACAGACAGGTCAAACCACTTGTAGAAGCCGTCAAGCATCTTATCTGAGAAGTACGGTTCTTGCATCCCCCAAATAATGCAGCATGGCATAGAATAATGCATACTTGTGGTATCCACGTCCTGGCCGTAAGGAGGTGCTGGAAAGTTCTTCCGAAAGAAGTAAAACATTCCCCATTCGGGGGATTTCTGAAGATAATCCCTAATTTTGGCACGATAATTCGCGTCTGGTATGGTACGGACGACATGGTCCAAGTCGTATTTGTCTCCAGGTTCATGATTAATGTATTCCAAGGAATACCTGGATAACTCTTGCTGTTCTTCGTCGTGATGAATAAGATGCATCATGGTGCCGAGGATTGGTGTGTTGAATATGACAAGGCCTAGCACTCTGTTCGGATGGAGGAATGCTAGTTTCTGTACCGTAATACCACCAACGTCGCCGCCGGCAAAAACAGCCTTGTCGATTTTGAGATGATCCAACAGCGCCACCATGTCGCCCGCCATGATAGTACCTTGGTACGCATCCTCGTCCAGCGGGACGTCACTGGGCGGATAACCACGAAGTGTTGGCAGTATTACTGTGTGATCGGCTGAGAATTCTCCGATTTGCTCCGAGAACGTCATTTCGTTGTCTGGGTGGCCGTGAACGAAGATCAAAGGAGGCCCTTGTCCATAAAGATGGTAGTGTATCTTCACTCCATTGGAACTGAAGAAGTGGGAGTTCTGGTTCATAGGCATTTCGGCTACAGAAGCGTGCGACCTCAACAGATGCAATATCAGGGATTTTCTGGCAGTCGCTCCGTTGTGTGGCTCCGTGTTGTAAGATATACCACACTTGCATGGGGCGCAGGTAAGGAGAAACTTCCCCGGGGCCCGGATTTAGCTGGTCGTCACATTTCTCTCACTACTAGTCACTGGGAGAAAGGATCTGGCCACCGGAATGCTCGGATACTTGTGCAGACGCCTTCGTGTTGCTTGATAAGTTGAAACGGCGGCCCTCGCCCTGTCGCGGCGTATCAAATAGGTCTCTTATGAATTGTAGCCCCAACTAGAGCATTTTGAGGTATATGGCGGAGTATCGCCAGACACAAGGGCTACGGACCATTGGACCCAAGCGCCCTGCCAAAGCTCACCCCTCCACAAGTGGGGCGGTTGTCGGATCGGTGATCGCAAGTCGGCAACCTCGGATCAATAGTGTGGCGGAACGGATCGATGCCGGCGGCAGCAGAAACTTTCGAGTGGGTCAAGACCCAGTTCCAGACCACGCTAACTTGGGATCTGCAGGCCTGCAGTTAGCCGGTCCACTCAGCATCCCATGCCAACAGGACTTTGTGCTGTGCTGACAAAATCGTAGCAACTTTATACAGTATCTCGACGTATCTCGACAAGGCTAGTCTTAGAAGCTAGGACAACGTGGCGTGCGAGAATTTGCTACTTGTCTCAGGCATGGCAGCTAGGCGATGTTTAGTGGCCCACCAGCTCATCGGGAAAGGCCTGCCGCCCAGGTTACTTCAATAGTCTCTTTGGCGCCGAAAGCTGCCTTAGGTGGGCTCGTTTCTCCGCTGATAGATCTGGGATCCAACTTGTAGGTGCATGAGACGGCGTAGAGCACGTGATTGATTGCTCAGCGGGCACAACTACCCTACCGGAAACTACGGACAAAGGTTATGGAGGCCTGACCCACGTTCAGCCGCAGGAAAACCTCGGCAAGTACTGTATGCCGGAAAGGAGCCCGACAGGTGGGGCTATGCTATGATCGAGCGACAAATTAGCTTGTAAGGTGGACGTACGAAAGAGGAATAGCAGCCCTTTCCAGTCACAACGTACTGGCTGTGGACGTCAGGTATGTACAGTCCGCGTGAGTGAGACTCGGAAGCGACGTAGCTGACGTAGACGTGTAGCGTACAACTATTTATGGCCGCCAGCACAACATGTTGGGAAGCTTGGCGTTGTCCTAGAGTTTCACAAAAGGGGTTGAAACCACTCAATGACCTGCAAAGCAGCCCTACAACAGTACAGTCTACTACAGTTGTGACTATGGCTCAGACCATCTTAGTCACAGGTGCGTCAGGGTTCATCGCCGCCCACGTAGTGGCCACCTTGCTTCGCAGGGGCTACAATGTGCGAGGAACAGTTCGCAGTGAGAAGTCTGCGGTGGAGGTCTTCCGGACACATTCCCAGTATCCCGGTAGATTGAGCACAGCTATCGTGCCTGACATGGCCGCTCCAGGTGCGTTCGATGAAGCTGTTCAAGGTGTCGACGGGGTTCGTTGGTCCAGCCCCTGGAAGCAAAATATGTGACTAATGGGACTAGATCATACACACGGCATCACCGTTTATCCTTGGTGCGAATGATTTCGAGACTGAGCTGTTCCGACCAGCCATTCAGGGCACAGTGTCCATCCTTGAGGCAACCCAGAAACACAATCCAGGGGTATCTCGGATTGTCATCACCTCCTCGTTTGCATCAGTTTTAGATCCAAGTCAGGGCAAGAGGCCCGGCTACATTTACACCGAACGAGACTGGAATCCCGTAACGAGGGAGGAAGCGGGTTCGGGTGACGGCGTGGCGGCGTATCTTGCCTCGAAAACATTTGCAGAACAGGCCGCTTGGAACTACGTCAAGGAGAAGAAGGTAAGTCCAAAAAGCGGCCCAAAATAATCATTCTGCACTAATGCGTAACGAGCCGAACTTCGGTGTGACCACATTGCTGCCCCCTATGGTATATGGACCGGTGATCCATCATATCAACGACGCGAAATCGCTTAATACGTCTTCGAATGACATTTACCGCCTTATAAACGGGTCTGAGAAAGAGGTTCCTGAAACTTCTTTCTGGGCGTTCGCTGACGTCCGCGATCGTAAGTTGCAGAATGTCATATAAGGGTCATGTATTAAACAAGCTTAGTCGCCGAAGCCCATGTCCTTGCACTGGAGAAGCCAGCGGCGGCTGGGAAGCGGTATTTGATCGCAAACTCTGCATACAGTTACCAGCAGGTCTGCGATATAATTAGGGAGAACTTCCCGCAGCTCCGCGAGCTGACACCAGCGGGCATTGCTGGGAACCCCCTTCCTCCGGTCTATAAGTTGGATACCTCCAAGGCAGTCCAAGACCTTGGTGTCAAGTTCAGATCGCTTGAAGAAACCATAGTCAGCACTGTTGATAGCCTTCTGCAGGTAGCCAAGTGAAATATGTTGGTTGTGCGCTACGTTAGCCGCGCTTTGTCTACATGATGAAGACATGGAGCTTTAAAGAACTTTAACACGCCCGTGACTGGAACTTGACCAGATCTAATGCGCAAACAATAGATCAAGGTTTTGCTTTGGTCCTGTCGTCGAGTTGCCTTTTTTCATTAGCCGACACACTTTCGTGGCGGAACCTGCATCCCTCGGATACTTGGCACAGGAAGCTAGGGCTCCCAGCTTCCAGTGACACGGCTTCACTAACGCGGACAGAAGAGCATTATTGCAGCAAAATTCTCTACTAGTCAACGAGGCTCATAGAGAAAGACATGACGGAGCACGAGATAAGACGAAGGAGTGCAAAACAGAACAAAACTTTGTGATGCGAGCTTGAATCCACTAGATCTGACATGCCGTATCGGCATTACAGCGACCCGTTTTCCGCAAAAAGTCATTATCGTAACTCTCTGTTTACCTCCCGAGGAGCTTGCAGCCATAACCAATGCCCGGCATTCAGAAGTGTCAGACAATTTGCTCCACAGGGATCACAGTTGGCATCGCGCTAAATATTGAGTGTTATCTGGAAGAGCTATTTGTGAGCACACGACAGTGCGCTGCTCTATATACACAAATGAAAGATTTGCTTTTTCGCGCAGAGTCCCGTGGTTGAATTTGGTGTACCGACATATGCAACCAGTGTTCAAGCTTTGACATCAGCGAAGACAAAACACAACGCATCCAGGCGCTCGACCTTGTTCCACGGATTATTGCATCAGTGTCCGCGGACACATATTCTGAGTGCAGATGTTATGCGACATGAGGCTGGCTCTATCATATTCGGGTTGCACGCAGCTCATAATTGTATAGCACGATGGCTCAATGTTCAAGTTGTAGTCAGACGGCCCAAGTAAAAAGTCTTACCACATTCGCGGCAGCAACAGCACTACGCACCGACAACTTGGCACTCATGTTTACAATTGCGCTGAGACTTCAAATGAGAACTCCAAATGAGCAAGAACGTCCTCCCCTCCCGCGGATGCGGCCTGTATCAGATAGGAGGAAGATATCACCATTCAGTGCTGGGGAATTCCAGTCAGCAGTGGATTCAAGGAGTTTTCCCAAGGTGTATTCCTCACACCGCAGCTGGTGCAAGAGCAGCTATTGCAGTTGCCGGAGCAGGAGCACTTCGAACATTCGCTGTCATTCCGTCAGCAGGGAAATTACTGGAGAAGTAAGGCTGCTTTCGCTCGCGCTTCAAGCGCCTTATACATATACACCAGGGAATTTCTCTGGATGCACTTACCAGGGAGACATGTTGGTATATGCTATGGAAGCAAAAACTCAGGTGACACTAGCGACTTTGTTCCTTGTCAAGGGAAGAACGGAGCAGTTTGGAAGCACTCGCGCCCACGGTATTATATACTCCAGCACCCCGCATTGGTGTGTAGATAAATCACGGCCGTGCCCGATTTACACACTGCATATCATGCCGCCACACCGAATGCTGCTCGCATTCGGTGATGCCACGTACTGCTCGCGGGCGCACTACCAGTCCAGGTGGGTTGCATCAGCCAACCAGCGGCTCTCAAATGACCCCCGGTCACCCTCACGGGAACTTCCCCGCTCACCGGTGTGCCGCTCAGCTTCTAAGTAGGGTAACATTTTGGTCCTGATTGGGCCACGGAACGCACTCCGTCGGATACCATACACCTGCGGCTTGATGATCTGAATGCAAATATCAGGGCTGTCCTTGACTAGGCCCATGCGGTGCAATTTGTAATATCACTTCCCAGGAGACGGATGACCGGGAAGACGCGGCCCAACACAGTTGAGGTATGGGGCGGCAGAGATGCTCAGTGGGATACTTTGTCACACGCCGAGGCCTTACTGTGGTAGCTGGAGCTCACACTAGATGACTCTGAGTTGCATGCCCCAAAGCCTTGCCACAAGCTACGGACGGCTGCGAGGCCGCCCGACTAGGGAAGGTAGTAAGTAAAACCGCTGCCGTGTCAGACAGTTGGCCACCCGGACCACAGTCGGCATCGTGTAATTGAAGAGATTAATCTGAAGAGCTGTCTGTAAGCGCCCGATAAGGCGCTGCTCTTTAAGCACGAAGCAGAGGTTATTGATTTGTGGCGCGGGATCCTTCCAAATGAGGCCGCTGCTCCGAGTTTTGCAACAATGTTCGAGCTTTGATCTCAATTAGCCCGTCCAACGTGTTACACCGCATAGCCCCCAGAGTCCACCTGTCGAGGTTCACCCGCAGCTTCAAATGTTCCATTGGGAAGAAGCCGAACTCCTTGCGCCAAGCTGTAAATCGGCGGGACCCAGGTTAAGTTGTGGCCCAGTGATCCGATGTAACTAACGGTTGAGTTGCTGTAGGCATACTCAAACGTCGTGTTGCTTGGCCTCAGCTGGTTATGCAGCCGAGGTTGCGCCAGGGCCTGAGGTACCGTCAATCCCGAGTCCAGCACGTGGATTAAATTCTGAATAGTAGCTGAGATGATGCGGCTGCCTCCCGCTGCACCAATAGCGTAGTACAGACGGCCATCTGGGTGCTCAACAATCACGGGCGAGATGGATGACAACGGCCGTTTGCCGGGCATAATAAAATTGGCTTGGTTTGGGACATAGCCGTAAGAGTTGTTTTTCTCAGGGATGCTGAAGTCGTCCATTTGGTTGTTCATGACTACACCTGTTTCTGGAACCATGAGGAGCGAGCCGAAGTGAGTATTGATTGTAGTAGTCAGTGACACCGACATACCACTCGCGTCGGCAGCGACCATATGCGATGTTCCGGGAGTATCGTCCGCCAACGTGTTATCTGGGTCATACCAGGAAGCGTCTTCTGTCTTAAAGTCGGAGATCTTGGCTCGAAGCTTGTTTCCTGTGTCAGGATTTACCATGTTCTGTGTATACCCTGCCATGCCGGATACGAAGTCGGGGTCCCCCAACTTGCTGCGCTGCCCGTATGCGAACTTCATGGCCTCAATGAGGCGATGTGCGCTTTGGTTAACTTCCGCCGGGTTGCCAAAGTCGCCATATCCGCTGATGGTGTTGAGCGCGCTCAGCGCGACCACTCCGGATGACGGCACGTTGGTACTGGTGAGCTTATACCCACGGTAGTGCATGGATACGGGCATGCGATGCGCAACTTTGTAGGTCCGAAGGTCCTCGAGTGTCATTGTGCCGTTGGCCGCTTTCAGTGCGGTGATGGTGGCATTGGCAATACTGCCCGTGTAAAAGGCATCAACGCCTTGCTTGGCGATGGACTCCAGTGTCGTACCATACCGCTGCCGCGTCATGACCTCCCCAAGCCTAACTCTGTAGCCCCGTGGCGCGAAGTCAATGGCCCAGGTTGGGTCCTCCGTCAGGAAAGATTTAGGCGACACGCGACCCATGGCCTGGATGAGGTCGCCAGTCACTGTGAAGCCTTGACGAGCCACATTGGCGGCGGGCATCACGACGTCCGCCCAGGGTAGCCGACCATACTGACTGTGAATGTATTCTAGTCCTCTGAGTTCCCCGGGCACGCCGCTGGCAATTTACCGTCTAAAATTAGCTCAAGTCGCGGTGTTGTGGGCAGTCAATAGAGACTAGGGTCATTGAGTACGCACCTTGCGAGGCCACCGTATACACTCCCGTTGAGATTGCCCTTGAACATGTCCTGGTATGCGGCCTTGGGGGCTGTGTCCCTGAAATCCACAGACTCGTATGAGCCATTACCATGGCGTACGAGGGCAAATCCGCCGCCGCCGATGCCACTGTGGTACATGCTGACAGTACCGACACAAAGGACAGTTCCCACGATGGCATCGACGGCGCTGCCGCCCTTCTGCAGAAGATCCGTGCCGATGCGGCTGCATACGCTGCTCTGCGAGGCTACGGCGCCGAGCTTGGATGAAGACCCATTAGTAGAGGGCTCCTGTGCCAGAGATGCCGGAAACAAGTTCGTCGCCAAGAGCAGCCCAGCCGTTGAGACAAAATTGATGGTGTTTAATGGCATCGCAACAATCTTTTGGTCGTGTTCAAATTTTTTGTAGAACAAGCTGCACCGACCTGTCAGAAATTGCAGAGGGTTTTACTGTACTAGGAGCCTGCCAAAGTCACTGCTCGCCTTATATGTCGTACGCAAGCCTCACACATGAAGAACCGGTGAACATACCCAGTCGGACAATTTCCAAGGTACACTCGTCTCCTAAGATGTCGGCTTCCCCGGAGCTGCCTAGTACCGTGCAACGCCACGCCTCCCACAGGGGCGTTACGCTGCCTAAGTCTATCTGCATGTAGCTTTGGCAAAATCGCAAGCGGCCGATCCCATTGCATCACCCGTTATGGGTGGCTGTAGGTGGTCCTATGACCGGGAAAGACCAAAGCGCACTGCGTTTGGTTGGACACAAATCACACAGGGACGGATGTACTGCGTCCGCCACGGATACTGAGCGCTGTCACGTCTACACCAAGACACCTCAAGGAAGCTTGTTGCCTCGTTCCACAGCCGACGAATCTCAAACATGTCACGGGATTGCCGGACACGATGTCTGAGTTTGACCATCTGCAATGCAGTTCCCAGCCACAGGTCGCAGTAGTTCGCGTCCGCAACCGGACTCTTCTCATATTACTCGACAGAACTCAGCGGCAGCGTTCCGTTGACGAAAAGGGAAAGATGGCTTGGAATACGTAGGCATTTACAGCTCAACCATCACGGCGCCGTGATTTATCAACCGGGTCGCCAAGTGAAACCGCAAGTACAATTGACACCCGATGCCTGCAGGCACTTAGATGTTTCACTAATTTCTACGCAACATTTAGCCTAAGCTACATCCTGGTTTGCAGGTAGTTACGGTCACGGAGCAAATGACGTATTCCCCCTGTGTCCTGCACACCGTACTCGGGCAGACCGGAGATCACAAGGGCTCTAAGACCGCGGCCGGCTCCCATCCGGGCCAAAACTCATTGCAATACGAGGCGGTGGTCTACCGTATATGCACCACACTAGGGAGGCTGACAGAAGATGGCGCCAACGTAGATCTGGTTAAATGCCAACGAATTATCGTCCGACCTCTTTGCTGTTGCTCATATCATGCATTGCTTACCACTTGCCCATAGCCCGAGTCGTATCTACTTTGACCCTCCTTGGCTTCTGGACGTGTGGGCTGCAGATACTCAGATGAGAGGCCCCTATACTCTGCTACAGTGGACCAGCCTGACATCAAAGCTGGAGAAAGCACCTCCAGAGGCGTTGGACTGGCCATATTCCTCACCTAAGTCCGTCGGCAAGTTTCAGGCTGTACGCCAGGCTGGGTGGTTCTTGGATGCCGCGAGGATATCTGAGGAGATTTGGCTACAAACAAGAAGAATTCCCAATGTAATTGTCGACCTATCAGAACGTCTCCAGAGCCGCTAGTCCCGCCGTTACTTTTGACATCGGCAGCGAACATGAAGGGCGTTGGTATCGGACGAGGCTACCGGGCGCCAGGCCTATTCTTCGATACTCGGCGCTGTCGCGGTGCAAACCCCAATCTGTGAGTCTATTCGGATAACTCAGTGCCCTACCGAGGCATATTCGCTGCGGCTACCCCGTATTGGATCAGTTGGATCAGCCATATGGATGAATCAAATCCTGGTGTACTTAGAATGCTTCCTCCACGCGCCACCATAGCGTTGGATGGCGATTGGCACGAGAGCTAAAAGGAGATTGAGACTGGCAAGTACCAAAAACCCTCGACCGTAGCCAAATTGTTCCACACCTGATGCCATCAAAAGTGGTAGAAATGCACTAGCCAGGCATCGCAGAACGATGACACCTGTCAAAGCGGATGCTGAGTGCAGCCCGGAGGCGTCCACTACATACGCCATAAGCGGTAGGATGACCAAAAGCAGCGAAAATCGTATGAAGATGACGGACGCGAGAAAGAGAGTGAGAGGTAGCCTGTACTCAGCACACCAGCCGTATAAAGCCACAGCAGGAGGTAAGGATAACGCGCCGACAATGGCCATAGGCAACCGATGTTCTGGCATCCCTACTCCTCCGTTGGCCTCACGGAGCTTGACATAGGCCCTGTCAAGCCCTAAGTTGCAGATCAAGACACTGATAAAGGATCCAAAGCCTTGTCAGAAGGCGTCAGTGTCGAAATTGCAGTGTACAGCAGCCCAGGTGTGTCGTTGCTCTTGCTTACCATTTGCGACAAAAGCCGAGCCAACCGCCGCCGGCGATAGCCCATAAACATCTCCCAGGATGAGTGGAAGCGTCACCGAGAGTACATAAATTTGAGAAAAGACGACCGAGCCGAAGAGCGCAAGGCTTGCTAGAACACCTGAGCCATAGAGCACTTTGAAGGGCCGTAGGATAGACGACCACAACCTGACTGAGCTCTTCCCGAGGTCGATGCCTGCTGCGTCATTATAAACACGCTCGCTTCCGGGTTGCGTACGCCGTTTGGACACTCTCCGGCGAAGAATGACGATACTATATGTCTCCTGGAAATATGTAAGAAATGCAAATCCGCACGCTGCCGCGAGCGCGACGCAGACCCAGAGTACGCATCGCCAGCCCAGGCTCTGCGAAAGTAAGCCGCTCAGGGCAGGTCCGACGGTACCACCCAAGAGAGGCGCGAACATGATCAGACTGATGGCGGTGCCTCTTTGATCAGGCACGAATATGTCGCCTACGATGGCGGGATTAAGGACGTTGGATGACACGGCCATGCCGGTCATCGCGCGCGAGGCAATGAACAACGAGGTACTTCGGGAAACAGCGGCGCATATCGTGGCGAGGATGAAGACGGAATTTGCAGCATTGATGATCCGGTGCCTGCCGATGACCTCCGATAGCGGCCCGATGAAGATAGGCCCGGCGGCTTCCCCTAGCTCCCAGATCGTGATCGGAAGCACGGAGGCGGAGCTGGACGTGTTGCCGCCCTCTAGTTCCTCGATGATGTGACGCGCCACTGGGATTACCGACATGCAGTTGAAGGTCCTATCGTGTAAATTGTCAATTGTCAGCTTCGGCTGCACCTTAACCCGGTGTGGCTGCTGATATAGCTACTGTACGTACACCGTAAAGCTTGTGAGGGCCAGCAAGGCCACAATTCCCCATTTGAAGCGCGGAGTCCAGTTGAGTGGATTGTCTGGATCGTCATTGGAACTGAAATCAGCGGTTACAGGAAGTCGCTGGCCGTGAACCGTCTCCCGCTGTGGCGGTCCCGCCACCAGCAACGGGGCTGTCTCGTCGGCAAGATTGGAAACCATCGTTCTTTGGAACGCCCCGAACGCTGACAGGCAGTTCGTTGACAGGCAGTTCACCGTCGAGTAAGAAAAGAGCAGATCAACTACAACAAACGGCTTACTGTTGAACCGCTTCGTCTTCAAGCCACGTTCCTTCAGTATTATAGGTATTGCTAGGTTCAGGAAATGCTACGCGAACCCGCAAACGGAAATGTCCGGAGATTCCGAGGTAGATCTTCGATGGCTGTGTCCGTCAGCCGGTCGTCGTCACACCCTCCATTACAGCGCAGTGTCGGCTCTTTTGGCCCGTTGTACCGGTGAGCTGTCCCTAGCGTAGTACGAATTTGCAACTGGGCGAAACATTGTCTCACATCAGCGGCTTCGCCGCTTCTGAACCCCCCGGCCGAGCGGGGCGGCACAAGCACTGAACCCTTTACGACATCAGGGTTGCCGCTGCACTATGTCACTGGTCACAGATCTTCGGTCCAAAGGCCTTGGACAGTCCACCATGGTCCCGGAATGAACAAGGGAGGGATGTGAAAGGGTGTCAGTTCCAGCCTCTCAACAAGAACCCCATGAGCATTGGTGGCGTTAATTCAAGAGTACAACTAGGCTCCAAGCTCGTCGTAACCGGCGACGGAAAAATGAAGGCAACGACTCCTAGAGAGATTAGAATGTCCTCGCTGCCCTTAAGCCTGATCACTCGGGTCAGGAAACTCCTTTCACAGTTTCCGTCAGACTGGAACCTGAGGGTAACGATCTGACCTGGATACCCATGGCAAGGCAACCTGATCTAGCTCTACAAGCATCACTGTCCTGGGTCGTGTAAGACCGGCAGTTGCCCTTAGCCTGCGCACCGCAGCCTTCGTCATGACACCTAAGAGTGCTTTGCTGCTGCGACTGGGTTAAAAAATCAGTTCGCTACAGAATGGGAGAGGCCGCAGACTGCCACAGTCGCACAATACGGTTGACTGCGAGTGGTCGGTGTTATTCGTCTCCCCTGTCTCCGTTTGGAGGCACCCACAGCGCTAGCTTTCGTCGGGGCTCATGGAGGATTTCGCAGCAAGACCTGTCTGAGTGAAATTCTCTTGGTTGTTAAAGACCAAAAGAGAGCAAGGTTTAGGCACACACCATCGGCGCGATCGTTCCTGACGCGGACAAGGGTCGCAAATTGGAGAGTTCCACCGACTGATCCTGGTAATTTCATTGAGGACTGACGGTTAGGTTACTCATCTACGCATGCTTGTCATCACTCACAAGCGCACGAAAAGAGTCAAGAAGTCTTTAATGTTTCGAAATGGGAGAACGTATTGGTTTGTAAAACGCGTGGGCGTGGCACGGAGCGCCTGCAACTGCTGTAATGTTTTGGATTACCTGGTTCGTTTTCCAAGCAAGGTCACCCAACGCTACTTAATTAGCCATTTTTGCAGGCCTGACCAAGTATTGATCTTCATTGCGAATGTTAGCAGTGCTTGACGTTGACGATGACGGATACTTACAAACAGGCCCGGTCGGGGATTTCCATGAAGCCACCTGCTCGAAGTCGGAATGGTCAAATTGCTTCTTCATGCCGTCTGGACCCCATCTGAACCACTTCACAGTGTAAATCTCGTCGCCTTTCGAGGCGTGAAATCCCAATGCGTCGCAAGCTGTGTCTTTGAGGGCACGGATAACCCACTGATGCGTGCATACTGGACCGAGCTGTTCACAGACGCCGAACACCTCCCACTCCTCGGGGCGATACCATGTGTGACCCAGTATGGTGTTCGAAAGAGCCAAGCCATGTTCGACCAAGTTCGGCATGCCAGGGATAGGAGTGTTCAGAGACCTCCAAATCCGCTCCTTGTCAGGGCACCCATCAACCCCGAGCAACATGTAGTCTTGAGGTCGCATGGCATTGCTCCATGTACGGAGGTCCCGGACGGCAACGTCGAATTCGTCGTTGCCGAAGATGGAACCGAGCGACATGTACCAGATAGGCTCAGAGACATCTGTCGCCCACTTCCTAACGTCGTCGAATGTTCCCCAAAGCCCATTGCATGCCACATGTTTGTAACAGGCAGCCTGCAGCTTTTCGAGGTTGCGTTTCAAGGCGAGCTCTGAAAGGTCCAGCGCATAATA